ATATATTTACACACGATGACTACATAACATAATGGACATTACGTTGTCATGGCCCATTCCGCGTATCCGTATCTGTCCGACCGCCGTCAGACACGATAGCAAAAAATAAGTCTGTAACATGTCTATGTGAACGAATCGCGGATACGTTACGGATCGCCTAAAGCTGATTAGTGGAACATGCGAGAATAGCTTGCCATACTGTTGCTCCTTACGGTACCATTGTACCAGATTATCTGTAATATACATGTATCTGATACGCGTTGCATCTGTCAATGATAGATTGTTGAGTTTACGGTACGGTCGAATACATCAGCCTGAATGCGATATATACGAGTAGACGACATCTAGCAGAAAGAAAACGTCGGTTAGCTACCATAGGCGGCATATGCAATAAATAGTGGATGTTAAAATGTTAGACTGTTCAATACGATGTCGAAACACTTAGTCATTCACAGTTACTGCTCAATTGAATCACCACGAAGCTATTCTTTTTTGTGCGATGTTTGCAGCATCAGAATCCATTCATGATAGATCAGCAAGAGATATAACTCGACGTCTTAGTAGCCTGTCTTTTTATCGCAGAGTAAACACGCCATCGTCGGAACGACGACTCCAGGCGCTGTCTCTACGTAGCTGTTTCTCAGGCCCTCGAAGTGATGATTGTTTTACAAGTTCAGTGGCGTCAGCCCGGTAATTGTACTTCATCCGAAGACGAGCGTTCACTGATACTACGACTGCTAAAATATACAGCCTTGAATATAGCTGATATAGGCAATATCGGAATGGAGCATATTACGGAAGACACCGCCGGGTGCGAGACATCACAGAAATAAGCGACAGGGCTAAGTTGACTGGGTCTCAATCATGAATGTTTTCACCGACGTCACCTTGATATTCCTAACGTTGGCGTTTTTTTTTCTTTAAGTTGCTGACTGGGTAGTGCGGGAACGCTGGAGATTGCCATTTGTAATACATAAGCATTATCATCGCAGGAAACATATACGAACTATGCACATGCAGTCCTCTTACCATTCGAACAGTATTGCAGTGGAAACAATGGCAGCGGCTATTCTTTCATAGTACCATTATTGTTTTGCTGTCATGCTTTACGCTAGCGAGTCACCCACTGATACGACGTCGACGATTGAGGAATCGTTGATTGTGCCGCCAACGCGGACAAAGTAGAGGTGGTAACAAGGATGGAGAGCGGTCCGTATTGGCCGCCTGCTACCTTTCCATCGACCGCTTTGCCTCAGCGGTATACCAACGAGTATGTCCGTGCTGAAACGTTAGCAGCAGCTCAGATGACGGCGGTATCCGACAACACGATATCCTTTAGCCATAAGCAAAAGCAATGGTAGGTTCGCACAGTTGTATACTTACGACGCTTGGCTACAGTAGTCCATATTGATTGCAGTAGCAGCTTCTAACCAACCTCACGTCTATGGATCTGAGTATCTAAGAGTTCGTGTATGGGCTCAGTCTGCAGACATCAACGTCGACAGATGGAGTGAGAGCACCGCGATGGCGCTTAGCAAGTGCCAAACGGTTGAACGAACGAATTCACGGACGCATCGTCGAGTAGGAAACTGCCATCGCAACGTCGGCGGCTTTTAGCTGAAGCTGCATTTTCGATTTGTATTTTAGCTATTGCTCCTGTTCCGTTTGTCTGTCTATCTGTTTGTAATGGCTGGATCGCGCTACGGCTCCATTAGCGTCAGAGGAAGCAGTTGTAGCTCGCGGCTGCTTCTGCTGCTCATCAGGGAGCTAGCGGCAGGCGCTCTGTTTCGTCGTGGGACTCTGTTGACGTTGATATGTCGTGAATGGACTTTGAATGTAGCTAAGTGGATCCGAGTGCCCGAGGATATTATGGGTTTGACGCATAGACAAATTGAAAAACTAGCACCGCTGAATGAGGATTACTTCTGAGGATAGCGGAACGTCGGCGATAGAAAAGTGGCTCCGCGCTCACACTGAAAAATACTGTCGATCATAGATTTGTGGGTTGTGGTTTTACGCGAAGAGTCACCGGACAGCTGGAAACGATCCGAGGCACAACAGGTGGCCAGTCACTCTGAGCGGCTTCGGAAAGTTCAAGAGATATTTTCGCTTGTTTGGCGCATTTGAGCTTGCCAGTACGTTTTCGAGCGGTAGAGATTTCACAGTAAGACTCGACTCGTTTTAGATTGACGGGATAAAAAGCTATCGATCCATTTGTTTAACCCATTGTGATTACCGGAATGCGCTTATGTTTTCACAGATGCTGTCCGATTTCATGGTTTGGCGCTGACGTAACGCAGGACGCGTACGCTAGTTTCATACAGGTGTAGATCTTTGTTGTCGAACGGACGACTATCTGTAGCGTAGCTTCTTATGAATCACTCACGACAGATAAGCCATCCAACTCCAGTCTTGTTAGCCCCTGTCTTTTCCGCGATTATAAGTGTTGCCACTGCAGTTAGCGGAACAGCGTCTTTGTTATGCGTGGCCTTCACTATCATTAGTTAATTTGTTTATGGGCTCGCCAAAGCAAACGATGTCCTTATGGGCTCTGCTACTACAGCGGCTACAGTGGCTATCTGCGCGATCTGTACCTTTTTGCAGGGCAGCAGCAGTGGCTGACACCAGGTCAGAATTGGAGTAGTGGTATTATTTTGAATGGTCTTGCATAGAATACGGGCTCTAACTGGCCGTTAGCACTGAGAAAGGTAACGGTAACCATGGTAAAGCGCCAACCATAGCAGTACAGAGACCCACTGCTGGCAATTCCACCAGCAAAGGTGGCGACGCTCTTTCGGAGAAGTAGCCCGGATTAAGAGCAGACCAGGAACATTCTGTCGGGTGCGAGGAACCATTAAAATTGAGTTAGAGCCTGGTAGGACCGTTGGTCCTGAGAGTGGCCACCGGCATTGGGGTTAAACAGTGAGCATATATTCGTAAATGTCGCTACAAATTCGCATAAGCTCCGCAGGTTAGTTTAGCCAACGAATGGCTGCTTCACCCCGGACATCACTCGAATTCGATCGGATTGCCGAGACTCCACCGGTGCAGAAACTGAAAAGACTGTCCGCCAGTGTGCAACAGTGGTTATTAATGGTTTGAATGTGGGTCGAACATAGAAAGAAGCAACTGAGGGGGATAGCAATCGTGAAATCGCAGTTGATAACGAAGTGAAGACCGAGGTTTAATCTAGCATACTAGTTCATATGAAGGGTTCATATTGTGTTAGTGACGGATGCAATGAGATTATGCTTACCGAAAGGACGTAGGGGTAGTTTAAGAATAAGGAAGGATTATAGTGACTTTTCAATATAAGTGTGCGCAAGCGCCCAGAGATAGATATATACATCTATCTGGGTTTATGAGGTTGCGGTAGCGGTGAAATTGATGAACCAAGAGTGACTGGCCTCAGTTGAGTCCGTTGACCGTTACAGCAGCGGCTCAGGTTTTTAATTCAGAAAGAGTTTAATTGCAGCCCGCTGGCTGTTTCTTCCAAAGTTCAACGTGCGTATTTGAATTGGCAAAGGAGCCATTCAGGTACGGTCATGGATTACAGCTTCCTGTTCGCTCAGCCACCCGTCTCTCCTCGAGTACGTACAATTCTAGTAAAAATCCACCCCCGAAAAAGCGACTAGTCTAAGGACACGCCATAAAGATACGTCACATAGGCATTGCACACAGGCATATCACATGAGTAAAATATATGAGGGGAGATATGTAGCCGTTGGCCGCCGCAGTGACACAATAACAACGCACGCGTCAAATACCCACATAGCCACAACCATATACATGTAGATTCACAGATGAACAAACTACACACTAATAGCTAAACACAAGAGTTACCACACTCTGCCACACGGATAAATCAGCTCATTTTTCTTTATTCTACCCTCGATTACCAGGAGTGCCTCAAACCTTCCGACTTTAAGGCCTCGTTGAACATTGATCAGAATAAATCTATTGATACAGAAAACCACTTTTAGCAGTGTATTTCTGTTATCACCTGATCAGCTTTAGATTAGGTGTTCTGTCGACGCAGGAGACTATGCCGCTCTGAAATAACACAGAAAATATCTGAATCTTTGCGTCTCGAGCATGGCCCTTAGCTGCAGCTACGAACGCGCTGTGAGCGCGATCCAAGCACAATTACGCCCATCTGCCGTAGCTTCATTTGAGCACCGTACCTTCAGTAGCAGCAGCAGCAGCGTCTTACTTGCTTCATTTTATGCAGCTGCCAGAGGAACTGGCGTTGAGGAGATGGCTGGCCCCTGCTAAGGGTAACTTGCCCCTACCATAAACGTAGACACCCCAGAGCTGTTTTGTTGAGCCAATGCGCTTACGAAGGGTAAGACAAGAGTGCCTCCTCGAAAGGGTGGTGCCCGGCGAAGGATCCTATAAGCTCCACACTAGGGTAGACGTCCTTACACTCCGTAATCGGAGCAGGCTTCTTTACTGTGGTATTGTACATTCGTTCAGTCAACTTAGGTGCGGGAGGCCAATATGGCCTCAAGCTGAGATCGCGATCGTGTCGCCGACGGACGCTTGGAAGTGGTTTCTGTGGACGATTGGGTTGATATACTCCGCTTTAGGCCTCGGGAGTGACAAATGTGCGATGGGAAACGTTGGAGTCCAGCGAAAACGGTTGCGTTTTCCCGTTGTTATTACAACGGTCATCACCAGTACTAACCCTTCTAGCAATATTACCACCGATTATTCGTGCGGCCATCGTTAACATTGTACATGCATACACGTTCACCGAAAAGTGTAGTGGGCATTTAATCTATGTAGCTGCGCTAAATGTTTGTGCTGTTATCGACCTTTTAAAAAGAGGATTTCCGTTGCGAAGGCTTTGCGCAAAATGTCGCTTTACAATGCCGAACATACAAATAGATTACTACATGATAAAATTTCTCGATATGATCTAACCTAAAGCTCTCGATTTTGAGTCTCTTTCGGTGCGTATTTTAACCTATCTATGTTTTTCTCACTTCTTCTAACAGATGGACAACAGCGCCAGCTTCTTGCGCGCCGCTCGGGCGGGTAACCTTGAAAAAGTATTGGAGTACCTCAAAGGCAGCATCGACATCAACACAAGTAATGCCAATGGATTAAACGCACTGCATCTCGCTTCGAAGGAGGGTCATGTGCCCGTTGTCAAAGAACTGCTACATCGAGGCGCCGAAGTAAACGCGGCGACGAAAAAAGGCAATACGGCTTTGCACATAGCGTCCTTGGCTGGCCAGACAGACGTCGTGCGTTTACTGGTTGAGAAAGGCGCCAACGTTAATGCTCAGTCGCAGAACGGCTTCACGCCGTTGTACATGGCCGCCCAGGAGAACCATGACGCCGTCGTTCGTTTGTTACTAGCCAATAACGCCAGTCAGAGTCTAGCGACAGAGGACGGCTTCACGCCACTTGCAGTTGCGCTCCAACAAGGCCACGATAAGGTGGTTGCAGTGCTCCTTGAGAACGATGCGAAGGGCAAGGTTCGTCTGCCGGCGCTTCATATCGCCGCGAAAAAGGACGACACGAAGGCGGCTGCCCTGCTCTTACAGACCCACGAGCACAACCCAGATGTCACTTCAAAATCGGGCTTTACGCCATTACACATCGCAGGTAAGAAGGACTGCTGACAATTTGAAACGATAGACAATTAGTGGGGGCTATTGACAGCTATGGAATGTATTTGTTGTCGTCGTTGTTATTAGCGTTAGTTTATAGACGGGTTTGACAATTCGCTGTGCATTGTAAGAAGATGTCTCAACCTAATTTATTCTTATGCAACTAGGTTTGCGTGAAATTTTCACGAGTGAAACTGTGTGGCGGAATTCAGTCCTTCCCCTCAGACTTGTATACTTCAATATAACACAAGTCTAACCTGATCGTTTTTGTTTGCTTATCACGTTCTCTTGTAGCGCATTATGGAAACGCTAACATCGCAGCGTTGCTCCTTGAAAAGGGGGCCGATGTAAATTTCCCAGCGAAGCATCAAATCACTCCTTTACACGTTGCTGCCAAGTGGGGCAAAGCCAACATGGTCAAACTATTACTCGAAGAAGGAGCCAAGCTTGACGCATCAACGAGAGTGAGTACAAGCTTTCGGATGCTTTCGGTAAAACTAACAAGTGTCTAGTATTGTACAGCTTGTTCGATTCACATTACGGGCGAACAGTTAAAGTTAGCCTCACACCTGTCTTTCTTTAAGTATATTGTATTATCACTGATAGTGTCGGTCTACTTGTCCGTCTAAGAGAGAAAGACATCTCTGAGTTTGCCTCATTCTGCCTCAGCTGAAGGCGTTCTTGATTTGCGCTTCTATTTTAAATGGCAATCGAAAGCAGGCTTATCCTGACAGCTTCTTGGGGACAAGGTCAACAGGCGGCCTTGGCCTTCATCTTTTACTTTTGGCCGACGCGTTGGCTCTGTTCCCGAGTCGCTGTTGAGCTAAGCTGATCCAGATAGGTCGATACAAACTTCGGAAGTTTCTGAGATGTCGGCCAAAGGTTGACTGAATGTTACTGCGTAATTAAAACAATAAGCTGAAACAAAGCCTTTAACCATACACCTTTCGGCGGTTATAGCTACTGAGCATTGCGTGACTGCATAGTCAAAAAGAACAAGACTGCCAACCTTGTCCTTTGTTACCTCTCATTAAAGTACCCTGCCTCCATTTGGTCTTGCACACGAGTATTCGCTGAACTAATGATTAACAAAGGTCCTGTCATTCGACATATGTCCCTTCAATTTGGTCCGACGCGCAGGATGGCTTGACGCCGCTCCATTGTGCCGCCCGAAGTGGCCACGACCAGGTCGTTGATCAGCTGATCGAGAAGGGGGCACCAATTACGGCCAAGACAAAGAACGGCCTTGCGCCACTTCACATGGCGTCACAGGGTGACCACGTGGAGAGCGCTAAGATCCTACTAAACCACAAGGCGCCTGTTGACGAGATCACCGTGGACTATTTAACAGCATTACATGTAGCCGCACATTGCGGTCACGTAGGTGTCGCGAAATTGCTACTCGAAAAGAAAGCCGATGCGAATTCGCGGGCGTTGAACGGATTCACCCCGCTACATATCGCCTGCAAGAAAAATCGAATCAAGGTCGTCGAATTGTTACTCAGACATGGAGCGTCCATTGAGGCTACGACCGAGGTGGGTTCCAAACGTCATCTGCCTTCTGTTGAGATTTAACCACGAATTCACTGCCATATCGACTGTTGTTATATATATATATATATATATATATATATATTAGAGATACGAGAAGTTGGATGTGTAGAAATCAGTCAATGAATGTGTAACGTCCAGCGATAATAGTTCCGAATATCAGCAACGATTTCATTGAGTCTAAAACTAAAGTCATGTTTCCTCTAACCGAGTCTCAGCGATTCCATTACATTATGTAAACTGTGTAACTTTCACTTAATCTTGGTCTCCTTTATCCCATCTCCTTTATTAGTCTGGGCTTACTCCTCTGCATGTAGCTTCGTTCATGGGTTGCATGAACATCGTGATCTATCTCATCCAGCATGGCGCGAATGCCGATGTGCCCACGGTGCGCGGGGAAACCCCCCTTCACCTGGCAGCCCGAGCGAACCAGACGGACATCGTGCGGATACTACTCCGCAATGGCGCTCAGGTTGACACCAAGGCGCGGGAACAGCAAACACCATTGCATATTGCCGCGCGGCTGGGTAACACCGACATTGTCGGGCTTCTCCTACAACATGGAGCGCACGTCGATTCAGCTACGAAGGACCAATACACGGCGTTGCATATAGCAGCCAAAGAGGGCCAAGAAGACGTGGTCAATATGCTACTCGATCATGGCGCATCGGTTACGGCGAAAACGAAGAAAGGCTTTACACCGCTGCATCTAGCGGCCAAATATGGCAATCTGCGCGTTGCTAAACTCCTTCTGCAGAAGGAGGCTGACGTCGATGCGCAGGGCAAGAACGGCGTGACCCCGTTGCACGTGGCGGCCCACTATGATCATAACGATGTGGCACTTCTGCTTCTCGAGCAGGGTGCGTCGCCGCATGCGGCCGCAAAGAACGGCTATACTTCGCTGCACATCGCTGCGAAAAAGAACCAGATGGATATAGGGTACGTATATCAAAGAGTTGGAAGATATCCGATAGCTAAGTTAAATACGACAAAAACCTGGGAAAGTAGTTAACGCGGTAGTTTTGTAGTCATATTAGTATATTTATTAAATTGGTACGGCGATGAAAGATAGTTGTTATTTTAGGGATAACTGATGTTTTTCAATGTGATAACTGCATGTCATCATCATCCCCCAACGCATCTGGTGGCATGAAGCCTTTTACGGACCGCTAAACTCGATTAGAATAATCAACAAAGTATTTTGATTTTGTCTTCATTCTGCCGTTACCACTGCACAGGTCAACACTGTTGGAGTATGGCGCCAAGACAAACGCGGAATCGAAAGCCGGTTTTAGCGCACTTCACCTAGCAGTTCAAGAGGGTCACGCCGAAATGGCTGCTTTGCTGATCGAGCATGGCGCCAATGTCGACGCGGCCGCTAAGAACGGTCTAACGCCACTGCATCTCTGTGCACAGGAAGACAAAGTCAACGTGGCAGCGATTCTGGCCAAACACAACGCTCGAATCGATCCGGCGACCGCAGCAGGCTATACCCCACTGCACGTGGCTTGCCACTTCGGACAAACCAATATGATCCGCTTCTTGCTACAGCATGGCGCTGACGTAAATGCCACCACTACCCACGGATATACCCCACTTCATCAAGCGGCTCAGCAAGGTCATACGATGATCATTAACCTACTGCTTGAAAACCGCGCCCAGCCAAACGCCACAACTAATGTGAGTAATACGTAAATAGCTGGATTGACCCCGTAATAGTTTAATGGCTAACGTATCTTCCTGCTAAAATTAGGGGCACGTTGTGGGCTGGGTTCGAATTCGGATATAGACAGACTTCGTTTCGTGCTGGCAGGGGAGGCCAGCCGTTTGTTTAATAAATACCTAACGGCGATATCGGACGTAAAACTTGAAACATACTTTCATCTTCAACGGTGAATTGACGAGATGGAGTTTTTTTTTTGAAGGAGTAAAACAAACTTGTACATCGGTTGTGCTTACGAAACAGGAATTGTGTCGCGGGTTTCCTATGCTTCCGATATTCATCGCTGGTTATGAATTTGTTATTGTTAAAGTTTGAGCAATAACATTTATAGATACTGAGCTGATTAAAAAAAAGTGATCTAATGAGTGTCTTTGTACTTTTAAGTTAGATTGAAACGGTTCGTTCTAAGCGTTCTACGACATGTTCTGGCGCAAGAAACGCTAGCCGTACCTTTTGCGAAATTGCTACCACAATTCTAGATGCTAGGGAACTAATTCGAGACGGGTACTGTTCATGCGAAGCCGTTGTCACTTGCTGATCTCTCTCCGCGTGATATCAGTAACACTTAAGGCTGTTCTGTAGGCGTATTACCGCGCAGAAACCGATTTCTCCAAGTCGACTGCTTTCGTTTAATTTATACAGTAAAATAGAATATATAGACAATGTAATACATTGTCATAGCAACCTGCTCCCGCTGTCTTGATGAAGATATACAGAGATAAATACGAGCGATTCGGGGCATCCCTGTCACGTAAACGCGGCCATGTGTAGAGACCCATATAGTGACAGGTACGATCTACTGGCCAGCTAACGTCTATCTAGAGACTCGAAATAACGCTGCTATCCCAAGTTACTCCATTAACCGTTATAACAATACCGGGAACGATGGGCGAGCGTTGTCGCGTCCATAGGCGCCACAGCGTTGCTAAATGCATCAGGCAGTCCGGCTGGGATGCAATGGTCCAGGATGAAGAGTAATGGCGTCGAGATGTCAGGCCGAGTAGAGCTGGACTAGTCTACGAATACTGTCGATCATCTCTGAATAATCGACCGTTTTTAGTTAGTGCATCTACCCATAGCTACAAGATGCAGGTAGATGCGTGCCACCGAGCCCGTCGTAATTCCTTCGACTGCAAACTACGATTATGCACATAGATAGTCCGTTTTTGTACAATCATGTTAGCTCTTGGTGTTTTGCTGGCGTCTTCCACTTGACCTGCTGCCACAATAAATCCACCCAGTAATAAGAACCCATTACTAAGTCAAGAATGGCCCAGCAGTGACTTAACCAGAAAAAGGTAAATAGCTCAGTCTCATACACACATGTTCTTCAATCGTGCGCTAGTGTCGGGGCTATCTGTGGATGGCATGATTTTTTTTATCTCGTTCATTATCGTTGTCGCTTCACTTGAAAAGCCGGTGCTGAGTAAAACGTTTGCCTATGGGTTTTACATTGCCGGGGGTACTCTTGTCAGCGTGTAGCGTCTACCCTTTTATCTTATATTACTGTATTCGGCTATGCAGGTACTGGTTCAACGAGTTTCATAAAGCTAACAGTAAAAGAGTTTATCTGACAGTGTACATAAGGTCCTTGTCGGTTGGCGAATTCGATTGAGTAGAAGCTTCCTTTTCGAAGTGAGTTACTTTGTCTTAGCTCATTTTCAAGGAATACATCGCTAGGAATTTATTACCGCAGGTGATAAGTGGATTTTCTTCAGATTCCTGGACCAAAATGGCGACGAATCCTATCATATTCTTTTCGTGGTTGGGGGGTGAGTCTTTGAGGCAGTGACACTCCACCGTGTACATTTTTTTCCACGTGAGATGTGTAATTTTTACCGAAATGCTTCGGAAAGATTTTACCCTATTGGTATCTATTTGTAGCGATTTATGTCGAAAGAATTACTCCAATGCAGAGTCCATTATATAATTATACAATTACTTCTATACTTTTTGGTCATCCTTTTCCAAACTCATGATGTAGTGAACAAAATATATCGGCCAAGTGTAATGCCGGACATAAACTTCTAGCGGCGATCAGTGACGGAAATACGGTTTTTTCTGTTTTTGTTCCTTCTCGGACAGTACAGTTGAATAGAAACGTCTACTCGAAGCCCAAGTTTCACCCGGGTTGGCTTCTGATAGACCTTCTGACCAGAGGGCTGTTTTGCTGTTTCTCATTTTTGACAATGCCCCCATTCGTGTCTCATGCAACAGCACCCTGCTCATTTATCAAAAACTGAATCCGAATTCTGGTTTATTTCATTTCATTCTACGGAAGGCACGCGTCTAAAGCGCCAGGCTATACTTTGATATTATAGTCCGCGATGTGACACCTGTGTTTGATAAAGTGTAAATTCGTTTACCCGAACCGCAAAGCCATCCCGAATAAATGAAAGGTTCTAATAAAGCTACTGGTGATGACAGGGTCCTGTTAGAAGGAAGATCTCACTCACAGGTATCATTAAATGTAGTTTGATAAACAGTTATTGCCTTTCCTGCTATATAATCGTCATATTCCTTGGCAAAAACACAGATGTAAAAAGAGGTGCGAACGCAGCTGCTTTCTTACGGACATGAGCATCGCTATTTCTGGCGACGTCGTGAACGAAGTAAAAAAACTCATACTGTTTCAGAAGACAGAAAATAAGATCGAACGTCGTCGTTGTTGTCTTGCGGAATCGGAAACTATTCGCAGACATGGTCATAATAATTATGCATATGACCCGATGCTTGAATGGCTAGGCGACTCACTTAGAAACAAGTGCTGATATACAGTTTTTAAGCACTCCTATTTCCATTAAAGCAATGTAGCTGCTGTATGAGCTGCTCAATGCGCCATACAGATCTGTGCTTAAGATCGAAAAAAAAAAAACAAGTTCGTTCTGTATGGGAGTTCGTATCGATATATATGGTATTCATGACACAATCCGCTAACTTTAACTTTTCATTTTACTGCACGGAAAATGCTATAATTCCCGTCGGCCATGAGTGCTATATCGATTAGCGCGAAAGAGGCTCAACAATGTCTAGATTTGCAGTCGGTAGTGTATTTTCATTTAAGCGGTGTTTTGAAGATTTTATGACAACAGATGCAAACAAATTTTGCCCGCACCTGCTACCGTAGCATCTATACCAGATAGTAATTTTTTGATTGCGGGAAGCGACGATGATTTCGAGGCCACAATATAAACGGTCGTTGACGGCTGCGCTGGCTATGGCCGAGTTTCCGCTAGCGATGCGCATCGGCTTGAGTCTATCCTTCAGTAAAAGTTAGTAGACTGTATGTTGGCAAAGCTGTGAGCTTCAATCTGTGAAGTAGATACGTTTATGTTGCTGGACCATCAAGCTAATAGCAGTCAATTAGCTGTCTTTCTCATTGTACGACTACAGTGAAACCGCATACTGAATGAGGATGCCGCAGCGTTTAACATCAATTGAATAAGTATTATACAATTATTTGCAAATTTTATTTTAGATCGTATAAAATCCTTACGAATAAACCAAATGCACTCTACTATCCTTTCGGTAGAGCGATTATCATATGTAATCGAATCCCGATGAGCCAAATGTTTCAATACGTTGGGTCTAATGAAACTGTCTCTGCGGGCTCGCTTTCATAATGTCTGTGGCCATCATCGATGACCTGAAGTGTCTCTCGATAGACCGCTGTGTCCAACTGAATTCCGTTGCCGCTCAACTGGCTTTCACCTATGTTCTCAGCTATCTACAGGACCTGTTCAACCATCTCGCATTCAGCTACAGAACATCTTGCAGAATTTTTATTTTGAATTTGCCTATTTACATTTACTTGTTGCAAATCAAAGCTTTAGTTGGGCTTTAGTTGAAACGTATTGATATATTTCTAGTCAACTAATGAGCGAATTCGCTAAAATGAAAAAAGGCACTGAGTTATTTTGCACCGGCAGAAATTTGCTCAGTGAATCGAAACAGACGAACGTCGTTCTATTTGTCGTCAGATCTTTGTCACAATTAGCCATCATTTATTCTCGCCGGTGTTGTTCAGCTTTGGGTTGGGTTTGCTGTCGGACTTCGATACTGTTGGTCGTTTCCGTGTTCCCAATCTCAGGCCCAACGTTTGAAAGGCGCTAAACATTCTCCAAGAGCGCCGCTGTTCTGCTAAGTCTCCCTTTCCAGACTCTGTCTCGCCGGTCGTTCAGTAGCAGCTATTAAATAACTATTCTTCCCACTCTGCATCCCTGCTGCTGCTGCTGCTTTCCGGATAAATGCCCAAAGAAAGTATCCCCCTGAGTGAGCTGGGCAGCAAAAACGTTCGGCAGCATTTGCAGCAGTTCTACGGCGACGGTGCTCGTTCGCTCCGTGACCCTGTTAGCTCAGAGTCAATCACATGAGAACACATGACAGAGATGGGCAGATACAGAAAGTAAGGGGCCCCAGGACAATCAACTAGCGTCCATCATCCTGTGATGGCATGCTATACGACATGGAAGTGTTGTTATCGAAAGAGAGAGTGCGCGAGCAGCGCCCTCCTCTGTGACAAACAGAGGACAGGGCCTTCTTTCTCTCAGGCGTTCCCCTATTATTAGATGTTGATTCCAGGGTTGGTTATATGTTTGAGCATCACGGACTACGGTGTACGGATGCTAGTGAGCTGACGATCGATGTCTACAGATATCACGCTGTGAATGAAAGCTAGACATGCAGCGGATGAATTAAACTGTATGGATACACATGTAGAAGAGTGAGCATCAAGCATGTCCCATAGTATTTAGGACGCTAGCCAAACAGATATACGGTGTCAACGACAAAAAAGAAACCACAAATAGTGTGTGGCCCTCCCGATCCCATCAGTGGGCAAAAGCTGGCTGGTCGATCAACTTGAGCAAAAAAAAAACAAAATATATCCGTAGTGTTGAATTGTCGTTATCGGAGGTCATACAGTGCTAGGTGCGTTTCTGCTATACATTTTTTTATC